CATCTCTCTAGCTCTTCTGCTCATAGTTCAGTATCTTTGTTATAGCTGGGCATGGTGCCACATGCCTTTAATTCCAGCACTTCAGAGGTAGAGGCAAGCAGATCTTTGCGAGTTCCAGGCCAGCTGGGGCTACAGGGAGACCCTGTCTCAAGAAGACCTCCCCAAAAAGTATTTTTGTTAGTGTATGGTGATTTTAGGGGTCCTTCCTACTTTGGTGGGGGTTTTCACTGCACCATTTGATCATGCATCATGGTGCAGTGGCACATGGAGACAAGACATGGAGCCTTTCTTCACTGTAGACATGTCACTTTTCTTCCTTTTAGTCAATGGAAATATTTCAGTCAAAATTAGAAGAAGCTGAAAAAGTTGCATGCAGAGAAGATTGTAGACGAGAACGGTGGAGGAAACCAGCGCGTTCAGATAAAGGACAGCATAGTCAAGCACGTGGCGCCTCAGCTTTAGAGAAATGTGACAGAGATTCAAAGGAGAGACATGGGTCAGCAGCATCAAGCAACAGCAGCAACCATAGGTCTAGTGGCCCTGAAAGAGGTGGTAGATCTGGGTCATCAGAAACGCTTAGAAGAGAGTCTACCGTAAAGCAAAGCGAAAAGACCTTTTCTGAAAACTTGAGACCTAAATTCTTAAAACCCTCTGATGATGATGAACTGCCTTTTCACAGCAAGAGCAGAAAATTTGAACCATCACCTTCATCTTCTGCACTAGTGGCCCAGGCTTCTTCACATCATGGTTTTCGAAAACCCGTGGAGGACAGTGAGGAAGATTTGTCATCCTGGGGTCGAGCTAGTGGGCGAGAAAGAGACAAGAGCCATTCGGATGAAAGGCCAATGGAAACTTGTAGCAGCAGTGACCATCCACATACTCCAGGAGATGTGAGAGAATCAGAGGCTGAGAGCTTGAGAGGTGACCCATCGAGGGGAGGACGTGTGCAGGACACAGAGTTTGCATTTGCTGGGTATGTTTTAAATATACGTGTATGTATTTTTAGGTAGGTTTTTGAGTGGGATCAAACTTAGGAAAACTTTAGTCATGGGACTGGCCCAGTGGGAGGTAGGAAAAACATGTATCCAAAGATAAGGACAAATTTTAACACTTAAATGATCATTTAGGTTAAAGGGCTGATGAGCTGGCTCAGTGGGTAACCTGAATTTGAATGCCCAGAACCGACTTAAGCTGGAGTGGCAGTGCGCAACTGTAATCCAAGTGCGATGGGAGCCTAGTGTGAGATGTGAGGTAGAAACCGAAAAATTCCCAGAAGCTCGTGGTCACCTAGCCTGCTGTACTGCAACAGCAACAGAAAAGAGACCCAGTCTCAAACAAGGTGGATGGCAAGGACTCACACCCAAGGTTATCCTCTGACCTCCACACTCTCACCATGTACCCCCATAATGCACAATACACATACATGTTCAACACACACACACACACACACACACACACACACACACATACTACCAAATCGAATGAAGATACTAAGGAAATAGAATTTGAGAGATGGAAATCAGTGGTCGTAACGGAAGCATTTTGGTTTGGAGTGGTGAGTCTGACAAGTTGCTCTGTTAATGACTTCGTCTGAAGCGGTAGATTGTTTGGGTGCAGCATGTAACTTCCATTAAGAGGCATCTGGCAGAGACTAGACTGAGGGATGGAGCCCCAGTCAAATTGGCCCTACTTCAGGCGATGGCTTTCCTCTCTGGAAACTGAAGGGGAAATCCCGTTGTATTGATTGAATAACCATGGCAGGGATTAGACAAAGTAAAGCTGTCTGGGCTTCCTTCCAGATGCCTTGGTTGGTAGACCATTTCTAGTCCCCAGTTGCTGGAATGAGACCTTAATTCTTGATATCATTAGTATTGGCTTAGCATTTGGGCAAAGTGTGGGTCCTGCTTTCTGTGCTTACTGCTGAGCAGTGTGTGCAAATCTTCTGTGTTTTGTATTCCATCCAGTTGTACAGTTGCTTCATGGTCATATGTCTTCTTAAATTTTAGGTTTCTGGTAGGCACACGGTACTATGGACACATGCTAAAACCGCCTGCTACCGTGGGCTGAAGGTGGTGTTCTTTTTGTTAGCTTTGTTAATTTTGGTGTGAGAAGTTCGAAGCTTTTCATGATTTCCATGACTGGCTAGAGAGGCAAAGAAAAGCCCGGAAACTCTCCATATACTTGAAAGAGGAAAAAAATGATCTGTGAGTGACTGTGAGAGACCACAGTGGGGCCTGGAAGAATGCCAAGGGGGAGTCAGTGAGGGGTCGCTGGGGGCAGGTAGTTCATGTCAGCATTATTGTGAGATGGACTGGATTTTGAAAACATGCTGCATTCTAGGGAGTGTTAAAGCGGTGAAGTTTAGAATGACCAAAGCCTTGTCAGCCAGCCTTTAAAACCAGAGCCCTGCACTTTGCAGATTGGAAATTGAAGGAATTGAAATTACAAATTCTCATGATGTAGTTTAGGATTGCCCGATTTAGTAAATAAAAGCTATAATTTCGTTGAAGCAGTTGGACATACCTAGCTAGGATTAAAAAAAAAAAAAAATCCTTGTTGGTTACCTGGAATTCAAATTGAACTGGCAACTCCGTAGATAACACCTCACATAATGCTTGGGGCCTGTGACCTTTTACACTTGCTATTTTTTTTTAATATGTGCAAATTTGTTTATTTAGCTTTTTCTGTACTTTGACTTGAATCTAGTAAACCTCATTTTGCATTGTTTTCTTCTTATGACCTTTAATTTTTTCAAAAGTACATTTTTATTTAAAAAAATTTTATTACATCATAAGAAAAATGAAAAGATTTTCAAAAATTTCATTTTAATTAAAAAAATGTACACTTGGCGCTTGCCCTCAGTGTGCTTCGGTGTCCTTCCCTGAAACAGAATGCTAGTTATGGGTGCTTGCTGACGTATTACATAAGTTAATATGTATATGAAATAAATTCTCCACAGATCTTATCTGTAGCCACTATTAACATTGTTACATAGTTTTATTTGCAGGGCTTAGGTCTGATATCAACATCTCTCTGAAGCTCACTTAGTATGGCTTTCAGTGTTAAAGGGAGAATCATGAATCACTTAAAAAATAAAACCCTTTTCTTTTATATATTAGTTGTGGTAAAAGTTATGGATAACCTTAGTGAAAGTTATTTTAGTAGAATATGAGAACTGATCAGTTAGAGAAAAAAATAGTATAGATTAGTAAGTTTGAAAATACGAAGCATTTCCAGTTGAGGACTAGAAAGTACTTTTAGTTTGTTGGGAAAAATAAATTTTAGAATGTAGCATCTGTAGATCAGTGTAGCAGACTGGAAGAGTGTGAACTGCTGTAAGGTATCTTGGTCTGCTGTGCGTGGTGATGGCTGGCGGTGCAGTGGTATTTTATCATTCTTAGTTTTCCTTTGTTTTGTATTTTTTTCTTTACTGTGTGTGTAGTTCGCACTGGCTTTGTGTGGTTTCTTTTTTTAGCTAGTCATGTTTTGTCTACTTCTTGAATTGTTTTATTTGTAAGAGCCAAGAGCTATCTGTATTTGATGCAGTGCAGTGGTATTTTCATCATTCATAGTTTACCTTTTTCTTTTTCTTTTTCTTTTTCTTTTTTTTTTTTTTGAGACAGGGTCTCCCTGTAGCCCCAGCTGGCCCAGAACTCTCTATGTAGACCAGGCTGGCCTTGAATTCACCATCTGCCTTTAATATGCTCATCCTTACTATTTTTCCTTTACTCTTCGTGGGGCCTTGCTTATCTTAAACAGATAAAACATCTAATAGTGGTCCTTGGTATTTAGAATTTTAGGCTTAACCTTAGTGATAAAATGTGTTTACATATATTTTTCTTTTACTGGAAAATATATGTGCTAAGGACTTTTAGGAGATTTAAACCTGGAGCAGTACTTATGAGTAAAACCCAGTATTTTTAATTTAGATTTTTAATGAATTTAATTAGAAACTAACTCATTTAATATAGTATTATAACTTTTGAATGTCATCTTGCAGGTTGGTATTATAGCTTAGAAGGCAGAAGATGGAAGCCAGGTTCTCATGTCTTAGTAAGATCCTTGGGCAGGGGTGAAAACGTGAGAGTACAAGGTGTGAAAGAAAAGTTCCCCAAGAGAACGACTGCACCTTGGACTGAATTTCCTGCAAGGCTGACCAACTTATTATCACTATGGAGACTGTGGAGAGTTTGGAATGTTGCTGGTCCAGAGTCTAATTACCGTTTATTTCTGACCATCCTTAGCCCCCTAAACAGCTACTCCTTACCCACCTCTGTTTCTGATCTAACATCCTGTGACTAACAGATAAAAAAATCTTTTAGAATGTATTAACAGTAGACCACCCAGTCTCACCAATCAAAAGGCTAAGAACTTATTATCACTATGGAGGCTGTGGAGAGTTTGGAATGTTGCTGGTCCAGAGTCTAATTACCGTTTATTTCTGACCATCCTTAGCCCCCTAAACAGCTACTCCTTACCCACCTCTGTTTCTGATCTAACATCCTGTGACTAACAGATAAAAAACCTTTTAGAATGTATTATCCTAGCAGACCACCTGGTCTCACCAATCAAAAGGCTAAGAATGTCATCAGATAGCATCTGAGAGCTATAGTAAAAAAAGACCCTCGTTTTGCTACTACACACCTACTGAATGTATCCTCCAATGTATTTGAAGTGTCTTGATTTACGACTTTTCTTTG